ACCTTGATCGATTTATTTGACTTCTTTTAACAGGCCATAAAACCCTAATCATGCTCTGGACAAGTACATTAACGGTAATACAAAGTGTAAGAGATGTTTGGCAAGGCTTTTTTTTTTTTCTCTCTCACATCAATAATGTAAAACTTTCCCCTCCATGTCACATACGAGTCCGGGCGGCCGGGTGGCAGCATGGAGGAGCCTTGAGATGTGTGGATGACGGAGATCTACCTCACATTTCTTCCTCCTATCACTTCTCTCATGGTGACTTAAGGGAAGTATAATGAGGAGGCGATTAGCGAGAGTAAACAGGATTATAGATAAGTCTTTCGGTGACGTTTCTAGTGGTATATGGAGCGAAGATAATGTAAAAAATGTGAGGTTTCGTCATAAGTTGGCTGGCGGAGGGAAGTTGTCAGACACCACCAAGCTTGGCAAAGTGCCCAAAGGCGTTCGAAACTTTAAACGCAGCTTCACTATGAACGCACGGCATAAAATTTAGATTGGGGATGATTTACACCCACTGAGCTTTTTGTTATTCTGAATTAGGGTTATCTTTTTTTTTTCTCTTACAGGCTAAGCGAATACCGAGCGCTAGGTTTGAGAAGCGACAGGTGAAAGTAGGGGCGAGGGTGGACCATCCGGATAAGTCCTAGTCAAAGCCAAGCCTCCTCTCATGATTATACTTACGTGGGCGAATAGAAACTTTATCCTTGTAGATCATGGTTCAACAACACCTCACACCGCCTCATCCAACAATGCGTCACTTGACAACGCCAGTTTTAAGGCCAAGGGAGGCAGGAGCACGACGCCGCCAACCAACAGAAAAAAGGAGCAAAAGTATCTTGGCGCTCGTCTCGTATCCCTCTGACCCTTAACTCTCGCCGTCTCCCAAACCTTTCACTCTTGGCTTCACTCGGCTGCACGTTTCAGATGTTTGTTGATCCTGCTCATGTTTATTTTCACTTCCGTTATTTATGGCAGTACGGAATGGTAAGTTATGACATGCGCAGGTTAAACCACGCCCGGAGCGTAGCAACGGGTGGAGATTCTGGCCTGCTTGTGCTACTGAAGTCAGGGTCTGGGCCAAGGAAATAGACCCGTAAACGTACCGTATAGGAAATGAAATCGGCTGAAGGAGATCGGCCAATCGTCTTCCTTATAATGCTGTTTTTTAAACTCTCTATTCAAGGACGTACAGCGGTGAGGGGGGAGAGGACACATAACAATACTCCTCGTCCATGAAAATGTCTGTCTGTGTTCCTGTTAAAAACACTACAACAGTAACATGCCCATCATATCGAGGGTGCCGGCGGCCGCTTGGAGCTGGTCCGTCCATAGCACACCGGGAGTGGTCGGTCGGCCGGTCTATTTATATGCCTGACCACGTCTGCCTTAAATGACCAATACGGACCATGTGCTTTATTTACTTTCGAGCGGCGGACCTAAATATTGGGGGGGGGGAGGGTGTAACTCCCTGACCCCTGCCTCCCGTGTGTGACTTACTGACGCACACACACACACACACACACACACGTTCTCCTACTGTAACCTGATCCAATGGTATCAGTACAAAATGCGGTGATATGATGTAAACATTATTAATATTTAGTAGTAGTAGTAGCAGTAGTATGTTGTTGTTGTTTTGTTATTCTTATTACTAATATAGCTAACATCTCTATTAATAATACTACTATATAAACAGAAATAAAAACAGTGGCAGGAAGGTAAACACAACTAACACACACACGCATATATATACACATATATTAATTAGTGTTGTCCAGTGTGTCCCAGACTGGCCGTCCCGACTCCCACCAAAGCGTGATTTTTTTTTTAAGTGTTCAAGTTGTCACCAACACAACAACCACACACTAAGCTAACGAGCTGTATGTCCCAGTGTAAAAGAATGACTGAAGTAGACCGGACAACTCGCCAACTGCACTGGCTGACCACTCACTTGCTTAGTGACCATTACATCACAGGTCGCCATCAAGACACACACACACCCTACACACACACACACACCCTACACACACACACACACACCACACACACACACACACACACACACACACACACACACACACACACCCTACACACACACACACACACCCTACACACACACACACACACACACACACACACACACACACACACCCTACACACACACACCCTACTGTAATGTAAATATGTCTGTCTGTCTGTTTGTCTGTTTGTCACGTCTTTCAGTTACTGTGCCCGTGACCTGAGTGGCTATGACCTTGACCTGATTGGTTGTGACCTTGACCAAATACAAACACTACCATCTGACAGTAGCCCAACCATTTACGACCTAATTTTATACGTGTCATATACTTGTCACGTTTAACTTTGTCTTATCTGAGTGTACGTGTCACATACCTGTCGAGTGTATCTGTCACACCTGTATTAAGTTACACCATAAACCAAAACATCAATAAGTTCTAAGCATATCCTGAAGATTAGCCAGCCCCCCCCCCATGACTTCACCTTAAGATTAACAACCTACTGTTAACCTAACCTAACCTATCCTACTGTTAACCTAACCTAACCTACTGTTAACCTAACCTAACCTATCCTACTGTTAACCTAACCTAACCTAACCTAACCCAACCTACTGTTAACCTAACCTAACCTAACCAACTGTTAACCTAACCTACTGTTAACCTAACCTAACCTAACCTAACCTCTCGAGATACCATTAGAGAGGTTAATACATACATACATACATACATACATACATACATACATACATACATACATACATATCTACTGCTTCGGTTCATGAATCTGAATCTCGGGGTTCGAGGTTCAAGGAGAGACCTGAACGGACTTAAGTAGTTGTATGTATGTATGTATGGTGAAACTATGGGCAAGTTTCTTTACGCCATTTGCCTCTGTCTACCCAGCAGTAATTGGGAACCTCGATGTTAATCGATTTGCGGATCGTATTCCGGGGTAATGGTTAGCCAGTGCAGTTGGCGAGTTGTCCGGTCTTCTCGGACTATTCCTTGACACTGGGTCATGCAGCTCGTTAACTAAGGGTGTGGTTGTTGTGTTGGCGACAGCTTCTACACCTTAACAAATTCACGCCTAGGTGGCCCTTGGGGGAATAATGATGGTTGGAGAGAGAGAGAGAGAGAGAGAGAGAGAGAGGTACACCACTCATCTTTCTCGGAGTGAAAAAAATAATAACCCGCTTAAATTCTTCAACAAAAGTAATCCTCTGGCGGGGGAGAGTTATTTACGGTGAGGAGTTATTTACAGTGAGGAGTTATTTACAGTGAGGAGTTATTTACGGTGAGGAGTTATTTACAGCGATGAGTTATTTTCAGGGAAGAGTTATTTTCAGTGATGAGTTATTTACAGGAAGGAGTTATTTACGGTGAGGAGTTATTTACGGTGATGAGTTATTTACGGTGATGAGTTATTTACGGTGATGAGTTATTTACGGTGATGAGTTATTTACGGTGATGAGTTATTTACGGTGAGGAGTTATTTACGGTGATGAGTTATTTACGGTGATGAGTTATTTACGGTGATGAGTTATTTACGGTGATGAGTTATTTACGGTGAGGAGTTATTTACGGTGATGAGTTATTCCAGCTCCTGCACACGTCACATCCCGCCTCTATAACTAAATCACGTGAGCAGAACTGTCGTGCTCCATTATAAAACAGTGTGTGTGTGTGTGTGTGTGTGTGTGTGTGTGTGTGTGTGTGTGTGTGTAGAGAAGTATACCAGTGTAAGAGCATTGAATTATACACTGAGAGTATACCTAGTGTATTAAGGCCTGTGTGAACATATAAGAGTGTAAAGCAGTGTACATGTGTGTATGTAATGTAATACACATGAGTAATGGAAGGTATGTGAGTGTACAGCAGTCCATGTGCCACGTGTGCGTATACTGAGGTGTATAGAGGCAGACACACCTGGGTGGCCTGATACTCTCACCCCCTGCCAGGCCAGGTGTTCAGGATGTCACTCACGCCTCAGTCGGCAACAGTGTGACTGGGCAGGCGTGTTAACTGTGCACCTTTACTGTTATACGATCTGGAGTGGTGGAGTGGTTACAGTGGTGGTGTGGTACAGTGGTGGGAGTGGTGGAGTGGTGGAGTGGTACAGTGGTGGGAGGTGTGTGTGGTGGAGTGGGAGTGGTGGGTGGGTGTGGTGTGGTGGAGGTACAGTGGTGGAGTGGGTACAGTGGTGGTGGTACAGTGGTGGAGTGGTGGAGTGGTGTGGTGGAGTGGAGTGGTACAGTGGTGGAGTGGTACAGTGGTGGGTGCAGCAGTGTGTGGACTGTACAGAGTGGTACAGTGGTGGTGTATAGTGGTGGGAGTGGCATAGTGGTGGAGTGGTACAGTGAGCGACGAGTCCGTACGGGTAACACGTTACAGTAAACGATAACGATGACGAAATTACAGAGGCACAAGATACACATAGTACAATATGAGGCACATATAGTACACAATGAGGGCCACTATGAGAGGCAATATAGTACATGAGGGCCACATATATGAGGGCCACATATAGTAATAAGGAAGTGCCAGGCACATAGTACACATGAGGGCACATAGTACACATGAGGGCCCTATAGTACACATGAGGGCCACATAGTACACATGAGGGGCCATGAAGGCCACATGAAGGCCACATAGCACACATGAGGCACACATAGCCACATGAAGGCACACATGAAGGCCACATAGTACACATGAGGGGCCACATAGTACACATGAAGGCCAAGCTATTACACATGAGGGCCACATAGTACACATGAGAGGCAATATAGTACACATGAAGGCCACATAGTACACATGAGGGGCACATAACATAGCACATACACATGAAGGCACACATAGGTGCACACATATGTACACATGAGGGGCCACATGGTACCACATAGTACACATGAGGGCCACAGCAGAAAAAGACATATATGAAGTGTCAATAGCAATAGATTAGACAAGTACAGTACTCACCCCCTGACAGATGCACTTGACGCAGGACCACACGCCGAAGGGAGGTCCGAGATTGGGGCTCCACTCATCCCCAAGGGAGTGTCTCATCTTCCCCAGCCGACACTCTGTAAGAACACGGCCACGTTAGAACACTGAGTACAGGTTTAGAACACTGAGTACAAGTTTAGAACACTGAGTACACATTTAGAACACAGAGGCAGGTTTAGAACACTGAGTACAGGTTTAGAACACTGAGTACAAGTTTAGAACACAGATGACACATTTAGAACACAGAGTACAGGTTTAGAACACTGAGTACAGGTTTAGAACACTGAGTACACATTTAGAACACAGAGTACAGGTTTAGAACACTGAGTACAGGTTTAGAACACTGAGTACAGGTTTAGAACACAGAGGACACGTTTAGAACACACGTTAGGACACTGAGTACAGGTTTATAACAGAGTACAGGTTTAGAATATAATTTAGATAAGTTAGATCAAAGAGTACTGGTTATGAACACAGGTCAAAACACAGAGTACAGGTTTAAAACACCTTAAAATGCAGTATATAAGTTGAGAACATAATTGTACTCGTTTAGAACACGTTAAAAAACAGAGTACAGGATAATGACACTAAAATAATGTTCAGAATATCAAGTTTAACTTCAAAACGTCAAAATTACCATCAAAACAAAGGCCTAATTCCTCTCACACGACAAATGTTTACACAGTGGCATCCAGACCACACAAAGCTGGAGGTGTTCTTGAGACGAGAATCCACTTTTCATAAACATTCACTTTACACAAAAAAAATCCACGAACACAAAAAAATCGACTTCTATAAATATCGTATCTGGCCATAAAATTACTAAAAAAAAAACATTCACATAAAAATCCACTATGGTGATGAAATCCATAAAATAAAAAGAGTTAAATCCATCTTAAAGGTAGAGTAGAAATCCACTGCGGAGAGGAAATCCAACAGCTTTCTCTAGTCTCTTTCTGATGGTCAAGTTTGGACTTAATTAATCACCTTGAAGTCCAGGTAACTAATGCAATCATGGTCTACAAACTCTTAGTCTTAGCTGTATGGGGTTAGGGAAGGAAGGAAGGAAGGAAGGAAGGAAGGATGTGTCAGAAGGAGAGAGGAGGAAGGAGGGGGAGGGGGTTGTCAGTGAGGGAGGTAGGGAGGTAGGTAGGTGGTGAAGGTTACGGCCGGCTTAATTAAAAACGTCTTTCTCCCCTGAAGTATCGCGTGACACTGATAATAAACCAGCACATAGGTAAGGTTAAGAGGCATCACTATTCATATCTATACGGTTAGGTTAGGTTTAGGTTTAGGTTTAGGTTAGGTTAATCACGCGTATACCACCTTCATCCCATCACCGTGTAGGAATTATTGTACCTAGTGTTGTATTTCTGAGTTGTATTATACTTGTACTCTATGTTGCATAATGAAATCTATTCTAAACTGTAACCTTGTTGTGTATCTAAATCTGTACTCGTAATAATATGCTTGAACAAACACACTCTGTAAACCCGGCTTGTGATGAAGAGATCACAAGTGTCCGTCACCAATGATGACTAACAACAACATAACCCTTAGATAACGTATTGAGTTCAGTTACCACAAGATCAACTAATACCATCAGAGATTAAGGTTAGGTTAAGTTAAGTTTGATTAAGTTTAGTTGGGGGTTAGGTTAGGTTGGGTTTAGGTTAGGTTGGGTTAAATTTGGGTTAATGTTCTATCGAGTAAGTTAGATTAGGTTAAGGCTAATTTTAGGGTAAGTTTAAGCTAAGGTCAGAAGAGGGTAGCTTAAGCTGAGGGTAAGTTTAGCAGTAGAAATACGACGCCTGGCAACAGTGGTCCAATAGTGGAGGTTAAAAAACGTGAATAAGATTGACAAGCCAATCAGTGTGTTTTAATTACTTTCCCATTCCCCCTCCCCAATCCTTCCTCTTCCCCTACCCCTCTCCCCCTTCACCACCCTCCCCAATCCTTCCTCTTCCCCCTACCCCTCTCCCCCTTCACCACCCCAATCCTTCCTCCCTCTCCCCCCTCCTCCCCTTTCTTTACATTCCTTTCCTTTCCCTCCCTACTCTCTCTCACCCTTTCCCTTGCACCTCCTCTTTTTACCCTCACTCCACTACGTCTTCTTACTTCCCCTCTTTCCTCTTCCTACTGTGTCCTTCCCTTCATCCTCTCTCCCCTCTCCCCCACCTTCACCTACCCCCTCGTTTCCCTGAGTGTCCTACGCGCCCCATGTTTCCTAGCTTCCCCTCGAGTGTCCTACAAGGCCTGGGTAAGTGGCCGGGCTGCCCCACGGGTCGTCGTCAACATTACTCACAGTGTCAACAAACAGTGGTGTGTCGTGGCACTGAGAGGCGCCCTTCACACACGTCCTCGCTCTCTTACTGCTGGCGTCCTAAAAGCGGGGTCCTGCATGCGGCACCCTACAGCTGTCTTACAAGCTGTGCACTGTGGGCGCAATCCTACACTTTTATATTCAGAGTAGTGTCTTATAAACAGCATCCTACAGCTGTCTTAGATGTGACTCCCTGTAAGCGGCATCCTGCAGAAGACTTACAAGTGGCGTCCTGTAGGCGGTGTCCTATAAGAGGCATCCTGCAAGAAGGGATTCCCTCGCACCCAGTCATCGCCTCCATCCTGACAACTGTGTAAACAAAGTTAACGCGTCCTTTGCGGAAGTGCTCCCTCACGTTACCCCGACACTGAAACAACATAAAAACACCATTGATGACAGTGAAAATTACAATAAATAAGTTAATGTCCTGAGCCGTGACAGCTGAGTTTATTGACATTTCAGCGCGGGTGTTCCCCAGTCAGGCCAAATTAGAGCGGGCGGAGCGCGGAGGTGTGTCGATTCCGAGCGATTCGATTGGTTGGTGACTCAGTGGGAGGGGCTTGGTGTGCCTCCATTGGCCCGCAGGTCCCTCACCCTCACTCTCCTCCTTTCCTCACATGTCTCTCACTGATACTTCATCCTTCTCTCACCTGCCTCTTACTTTTTCCTCTCTCTCCCCCACCCCCACCCCCAACCCCCCCACTTACCTATTTCATCCGCCAAACTGTCCAGTACTTACCACTATCACCACCACCACCACCACCACTACTATCACCATCATTAACCACATCATCACCACCATTACCGCCATCACCCCCACTATCACTACTGCCTCCTCCTCCACATACCACACAACACCCCCACCCCATCACCACCACCCCCACCACCCACCCCCTCCACCACCACACAGCAGGTGGTGGTGGAGGCCCTCTCGTCTACTTGAGGGCCTCGTGATTCACCAGGTTGTCACACTTCACAGTTTTTGTGGTTCCTCCGCCGCCTGTCTACCCGGGACGTGACTTGGCAACACCTCCACGGAGTCTCAGGGGTGAGTCAGGGGTTGAGTCTTAGGATTGAGTCTCAGGGGGTGAGTCTCAGGGGGTGAATCTCACGGGTGAATCTCAGGGTGAGTCTAGGGTGTCAGGGTTGAGTCTCAGAAGTGTCTCAGACGTGAGTCTCAAAGATCAGTCTTAGGGGTGAGTCAACGATGAGTCTTAAGGGTGAGTCAAGGATAAGTCTCAATGGTGAATCAGTCTCAGGGGTGAATCTCAAGGATGAGTCTCAATGGTAAGTCTCACTGACGAGTCTCAGGAGGTGAGTCAGGACAACATTCTGAGCGACATACCTCTCTTGCCACGACACATCACATACACACCCACTGAGAGGAACTGTCATATATGACCTCCTGAGACACGTGACCTCATGACACTAAAGACTCCATGACAGATCGTTGGCGTCAGTAACATTTCAAAAATCTTTACATCACAAGAACCGCATTATGCAAGGAGTCCCATTAACCCACGGTGGAAGTCATGAGAACCACATGACATGACAGGTGTGTGTGGGGTGTGTGCATGACAGACGTGACAGGTACATGCATGACAGACTCGACAAAGAGGTCACTGTGACAAGCGGTGACATATACTGTATGTGCTATATGTAGGTTGAGGGTATATGTAAATTTTCGTTTTGCATCACGCGTAAAAGTTGATTTATTGCAAGGTAAAAGACGCATCACATGTTGGTCTTTGATGTGTCCTGTTGCAACATTCCCTTGGTGTGTGTGTGTGTGTGTGTGTGTGTGTGTGTGTGTGTGTGTGTGTTTCTGTTGGTGTGTGATTCTGTTGGTGTGTGATTCTGTTGGTGTGTGTTTCTGTTGTTGTGTGATTCTGTTGGTGTGTGATTCTGTTGTTGTGTGATTCTGTTGGTGTGTGGTTCTGTTGATGTGTGATTCTGTTGGTGTGTGATTCCGTTGATGTTAAATTCTGTTGATGTTAAATTCTGTTAGTGTTAGATTCCGTTTTTCTTAGATTCTGTTACTGAAAGATTCTACTGGAGTAAGATTCTACGAGAGCAAGATTCTAAGAGTCTATTTGAGCAAGATTCTAAGATTCTCGTTGAGCAAGATTCTATTGATTTAAGATTCTGTTAAGCGGCAATTACGTATAATCCTGGCATCTCTACTTGACAGGACCTTCACATGAAATTGTTATAAAGTGACATGACAAGATAGTGATGTGAAGGCTTATGGTAAAATATAGAAAAAATAAAATATATGACAGAATTAGTTGTGTGTATAGAGGAGAGATGGAGAGGAAATATGTGTGTGTGTGTGTTTAACAAGTATACACAGCTAAATCTCTCGTACACACACACACACACACACACACACACACACACACACACACACACACACACACACACACACACACAGCAAAACATCCATAAACGTACATAACTCCACGTCAAACAAAACTGCCACTCCAGCTAAAATTTACGACTGAACAACTTCACGAGCTCAGGAAATCCTTTACACAACTTGCTATCTTAATGAACTGTAGCGAGGTGGTTCGTTGTGTTCCTCGATATTATCAAAGAGGAGGAGGAGGAGGAAGACAGTGTACCACGTTCTTCACATAACTCTCGGGATGTCTTCTTGTCAGTTATCACAACATCCAGTCATCCCATCATCCAGTCATTCCATCATCCACCCACCGTATCATCCAGTTACTTTACGTCTAAGTTATGTCACAGAATCAAGCTATTCACACACACACACACACAC